TGAATTGTTGATGGGTGTAATTGCACATTTAAAAAGTTTAAGGGCCTAATTGACTTTTAAGCTAAAGTTCGAGGGCCTATTTGTCCTTTTTTCCTATTTTTTTTGAGACTCGAACAAATTTTGAGCCTTTTTTTTTTGCTATTGTTGTTTGTTTAAACTAGTTAGACAATTTTGTTATACAACTATTAGTTTTATAAATTAATATTTTTTAAACTTATTTGTTTTCCAAAAAATTATGACCATGCAACTTGTGGGGCATATTTGAGATGAGTCCTCCTCAATAGCATACTTTGACAATATTACAAGTGATTGAATAACATTTCTGGATTTTTTGAGTGTCGTAATAATTTCTTAAAGACTAACTTGAAAATTGTTCCAAGAGCATTGACTAAACTCTATGAGATGAGTTCATCCTTCATGGACATTTGAGTCATTTATCTTCTATCTCATTACCAAGTATGCTAATATTGATTGATAAATATATAGTAAATGTATTAATTATTATAGTAAAGTTGACCCAATGATTTTTTTTTTCTTTTGTGTAATAATTGATTTCTAAATAATGGTTGTGAATTAAACCATGAACCGGTTAGATAGGTTTTCTCTGCCACATAATATTATGGAGTTTGGTTTGAAGATATGCAAATTTCAATGGCTATAATGGTGTTATGCAACTATTAGCTTTTTAAATTAATATTTTATTAAATTTATTTTTTTGTAAAAAAATTTATTACCGTGCAACTTGTGGGCTATAGTAGAGGTGGGCCCACCTCGATAAAATCCTTTAAAAATATTACACTTGATTGAATGATAGTTCTAGATTTTTCATACGACGTAATATATAGTTCCTTAAAATTAAAGTTAGTTTGAAAGTTGTACCATGAGCATTGATTGAGCTCTACAAGATGAGTTCATCTTTCAAGGACTTTTGAATCATTATCTTTTTATCTCATAATAATAGTAATATTGATTGATAAATATAGAGTACATTTATTACATATAAAGTGCTTTTGATGGGAGGTTTTGATAATTTGGAATAAAAAATAAATATACCATATGAAATGTTTGGCTAATACTTGAATTAACTTTCCTCTTTACAAACAGGCAAAAAAAAAAAAAAAAAAGGCAAAGAGTTCATTAACTCCTATTACTTCATTTTATAGGGGGGAAACGGTAAAAAAAAAGTAGTGGGTTAGCTAAAGATAAATGGTAAAATGTTGACATGTCACTATTTACTCAAATAAATTAATTTAAAAATAAAATGAAAAAAGATGAAGAAGCCATGACGGCTTCTCTGTTTAGTTGGACAGGCAATTTCTTCGTCGACAGAGCAACCGACAATTCTATTTTTTTTTTTAAATAAAATTATTTTGTTGAAAAAAATCTACATCAACATGTATTACCAGCTATCACTTGGGGTTTACAACCCAATGGACCTAATTGTATCTATTAACAAGCTATCAATTCAATTGAATCAAATTTAAAAATTGATATGTTTAATTATAACTTTTTTAAAATTTAATGGTTTAATTAATTTTTCATATAAAGTTTAGGAGTCTGACGCTTCCCGATTTATGTTGCTTGTAAAACAAACATATCTTAATTTGAAGAGTTGCATACAATTTGTACATCACAATATTTCAAGATGTTATTATATTGTATGATTTTATTTATTTTAGTCTTAACACTTGAATTTTAGTCAGTTTATATATCATATACTTTCCAGTGGGGTATAGGGATATGACCGACAAATTATTCTGTGAAATTTGATCCACCTTGTAAGATGAACCCATGTCCAATTTACATATTGAATGTTCACAATTTATTAAATATTGAATGTTCATAATTTATATAAACAATTTACATACTAAATGTTCACAATTTAAATTGTAAACATTCAATATGTAAATTATATATTTTAGACCCGAGTATATGATATAACTGCTGAGTATGACCCATACCTCATATTTTGGGCCCAAAGATGGATGAGGTCGATGGCCCAGATCCCACTATTGAGGCCTTAGCCTCAGGCAAAATATTTCTTCATCGTGTCCTTCTAATGGCCCAATACAATTGGGTCAACTAATTGTAGAAAGCATTGGTAGTCATTATCGGCAAATTTTTATCTGGATCATAAAAGGTACATTTTTAATATATTAAAATACATTATTTAGTGTATTTTTTTAATATATTAAAATATATTATTTGTACACTAAATGTATATTATATAAAATCAGCATATATATATATATATATATATATATATATATATATATGCCACAAAATAATACAATCAACTACTTATCATTCCCTTGTTAAATTAAAAATGTGTATGTATCTACACATGCAAACAAATTTGAATATTTCTATTCAAGTTCACCTGTATCTGCAAGAGCTCAAGTCTCATTGCCTCATCATGAGTAATTTAATTAATGTGTGAAGAATTTATTTTCACTCCATACTAAAGTTATTTATTCTTTTAAAATATTACAAGTTTTTTAGGACTATATCGGATCAAGCTAAGCCAAATAATTCCACTATTCTCATTATGATGTTACATGTATATGGACAATTTTAAGAAGTTTCAGTGATGGGATTTCTTGAAGAAGAGGAGGCCGGGAGGGAGACGTAGTCCCCCGAAGTAGGTAGATGGGGAGAGGGAATCTAGCTCCTCCCACTACAAGAAAAATGCACATAGACAACACTAGAAAGACAACAGTTTTTAAGAAAAGTGTTGTCTTTTGTATAAAAGACAACAGTTTGGTCCAAAATCGTTGTCTTTGATGTAACACTTTTGTCAAAGACAACGGTTTTTACTTAACCGTTGTTGTAAGTGTGTTGTCTTTGTGCATTTTGTGAAAAGACAACACCACAACGACAACGGTTTTTTAAAACCGTTGTCTATGTGCGTTTTTTTTTTAAAAAGACAACGGTTTTTTTAACCGTTGTCGTTGGTGTGTTGTCTTTAAGCACACTGGAATACACAACACTAGAAAGACAACGGTTGTTTAAAACCGTTGTCTTTGTGCGCTCTTTTTTTAAAAAAAGACAACGATTTTATTTAACCGTTGTCGTTGGTGTGTTGTCTTTAAGCGCACTCGAATACACAACACTATAAAGAACGGTTTTTAAAAACCGTTGTCTTTGCACGCTCTTTTTTATTTAAAGGACAACGGTTTTTTTACCGTTGTCGTTGATGTGTTGTCTTTAAGCGTATTTAAATACACAACACTACAAAGACAACGGTTATAAAAAACCGTTGTCTTTGCGCATCATTATTTTATAAAATATAAACAAAGATGTTAACAACAAGAGTCAAACATAACAAACTAAGTTAAACCTACTAAGCCACACCAACACTTATGTACTTAAGCACAACATCTAGGATATAACCAGTTTGGTTCTGTGTTGTCTCTGAGAACCAAGACAATGATTGTATGAAATATGTTAAGGATGCCCTTAAGAGGGATAGAACCTAAGATTTCTAACATAACAAACAAAGCTAAACCCACCAAGCCACACCAACTCTTGTTTACTAAAGTGTTACACCTACCAAGCCATAACAAACTAAGCTAAACGGTTGTTCAAAAGTTAATTTAATAGTTCTATTTTCGTTAATATTTAAATATAAAATTATTCACCAAAATTTCAATTTCAATTCATTAAAGTTTTATTTTCAATTACAATTAAGACCAATCTAGGAATTCAAAATAATAATAATAATAATAATAATAATAATAATAATAATAATAATAATAATTATCAAGTATAAAAAATAATAGATTATATCTATAATATTTTTTTTTAAAAAATTGGGCTTCCAAAAATTGGGGGCCCTATGCGGTCGCGCCGGTCCGACATGGCCTAGAATGGCCCCGGCAGTGCGGTGTGGCGTTCCGAATGGTGCGGTATGGTGTGGAGGGTAAGGGCGGTATGATAGGGGCCGGGGTTGGTAATCGACCCTTCCGGCTAGCGCATGACTAACAAGGTTAGCTATATGTTGGTAATCGACCATTCCGCCATGCATGGGACACGTGGAGAATGGATACGAAAGAATAGTTGATATCGTACAGTAAGCTATAGCCAATTTCTTTTGCCGTGATCTTTGTAATAATTGGGCCGCCAGCTGTTTGGGTAATAAACCTCCGAGTAATAAAGGGCAAATTATGCTGTGCAACCGTGTGCACCATGCATGGTGCACACTGCTCTATGTTCATGATTACCGAACTATATATTCATAATTTTTGAAATTCATATTCATAATGATTGAACTCTATATTCATAATTTTCGATATGATGTTCATATTCCCAATTGTTGAACTATGTATTCACAAATCATAAAACTATATGTTCATAATTTGATAACTATACAGTTTAGAAATTATGAATCTGCAGTATAGAAATAATGAATATATTGTATAAAAATTATGGATCTATTGTATTTAAATTATGAATCTATTGTATTTAAATTATGAATCTACGATTTAGAAATTATGAATCTAGAGTAAAGATTTTATGAATCTACAGTATATAAATTATGAATCTCGCGTTCTGTACATATATACTCGCTGGTACTATTTTGGGTCTAGCAACCTGGGTAATAAAGCTAATATTTTTTTATGGTGGATCGGGTCCCTACAAAATCATGAATATACTTTTTTTTTTTTAAATGTTACTGGCTCGATCTCACAACCTTCCAAATGGAAGTCCAACCCGGGTACCATTAGACCACATAGTCTTGGTATGAATATACTTATTTAATTTTGAAAAAATGAAAGCTTATTATAAAATTAAAATAAAATTTTGTTATTTTTCTAATTATATTAGTATATAGTATATAGTATATGTTATGTTATTTTTCTTTTTGCAAAATCAAAATAATTCCTTCAATTCAATTGTTTCCCTTTAAAAATTTTTAGTTAGAACACTTAAGCGGGAGAAATTTCTCTCTTTGTAAATTTTCCCGTCAAACACTTTAGTTTCTAAGACAAAATTTCCGCTACCGCCATTCTCAGACATTCTCTCTTTGCAAACCTAGTGCTCTCCGCCGATCTCCATTCTCCTCAAACACCGCCATCTCTGCCATCTCCGCAGTCAGCCCAGTGCTCTCCGCCGACCGTCCTCTTTCCGCGTCCAATCTCCGACGCCGTCCCCGCCTCCAATCGGATTGAGTGGCTTCCCTAGCATCTTCAAGAAGCTCGGCATCTTTGGCGGATCTAACCTGGGAAAAATCGCGGGCTTCCGTCACACTAGTGAACAAAGATTGCTTCCTCTGGGCGGGTTCTTCATCGCTCTTCTCTTTCTTGGCTGAAACCACGAAAGATTTCTTGAGGCTTCTTCTGCTGGGAACGCCGCTACAAGTTGAGAGCTTGTGTGCACACCCAGTGTTTGTGAAAATGCCATTCTGTGGAGGTGTCAAGGTCAGAGCCCTGAGACCCATTTTTTGCTTGTATAGTTTTTAATCAAGGTTTGTCTGTGGTGCCATTTTTGCTGCTTATATATTGGTTTAAGGAGACGCCATGAGGGAGAATTTGGGATTTGTTTGTGGTGGGTGATTTGTGTGAGAAATTTGCATGGTGGCAAGTGGCAGTAAGCCTGGTGGCTTAGGGGAGAAGATGTGGCCATGTGGTGACTATTGAAATTGTGATGGAAGATTCCAAATCTTAGGAAAAAGCCACAAAGTATCCAATAATCTTTAGTGGTAGAGAATTCAGTCAAATGGAATTATAATATCCAGTCTTTGTCAATTCAGTATATTATACTCTTATAGCTTTTCTTTTCTTGCATTTGGTATGTGAGTTCTCAGTAATGTTGTAATAACACTGGCCAGAAAAATTCAAAAAAAAAAAATAAACTAAAATTCCCAAAGGGATTTGAAGCCAAAAATGCCCTTCTAGAACTACACTAATCTGAGCAGTTAACATTCTTGCAGATCTCCAAAAGGGCATTCAGATCAGTAGATTAAAGAGTAAAGATTCATGATGAAGCTAGAAAGTTTGCATATCAGACTGGTGTCAATGTGGTTGTTGCCTATGGTGGAGCACCCATAAATCAACAGGTCCTATTCTTTCTAATATCTTCATTTAATAAAACCTTTTGTAAGATGAACATGTTAATAGGTCACATAGATTTATCAAAGACAACCCATTTAATCCATTACATAAATAGGATATGTAAGAATTGTCCATCACTTTCTGCTCTTGATATTTTAAGAATTGTTGAGCTAAAGTTGAAATTTTTGTTTAGTTTCACCTTTGACATGCCAATCACTTTGTTGCTAGTATGTGCTTTCTAGCAAAACAGTCCACATGAGCCCATCACTAAATTTTTGTTTAGTTATCCTTGTAATTAATCTTCTCAATTTTGTATGACAGCTTCGAGAGCTTGAGAGGGGCGTGCATATACTTGTTGCCACTCCTGGGCGGTTAGTTGATTTATTGGAGAGGGCAAGAGTCTCATTGGAGATGATTAGATATCTGGCCTTGGATGAAGTAGATCGAATGTTAGACATCGGTTTTGAACCTCAGATAAGGAAAATTGTGCAACAGACAGACATGCCTCCACCAGGCATAAGGCAGACAATGTTGTTCAGTGCTACCTTCCCGAAAGAGATTCAGGTTTGTTATGCTCATTGAGTCGTGCTTTTTTGTTATAGGTCTGGATCATCTTCGTAATTATATTAGTACATAATGTATAATATATGTTATGTTATTTCCCTCTTTGCAAAATTATATTAGGACATAGTATATAGTATATGTTATGTTATTTCCCTCTTTGCAAAATCAAAATAATTCCTTCAATTATATCGTTTCCCTTTGCAAATTTTTAGTGAGAACACTTAGCGCGGAATTTCCCTCTTTGCAAATTTTCCCATCACATACCTTAGCTCTTCATATATTAGGGTTTGAATTTCTGTCTGCCTCAGTGTTGTTACATTTATGCTAAAAATCCGTATTCTTAGGGTAAATTATACTATGGGATTAGTAGACCAATAAGGGTAAATTCTCATTACCGCCTGCATTTTCACCAAACTGCATTGAGGCAGAGGTATGTGTGTATATGTGGGTGTAAATCAAAGCAAGAATAAATATCCACTTTTTGGCTAATGCAATACCAAAAAATCTTGGAATTCTGAGGTTCTCTTCTGTTCTTTGCTCTTTTTTTTTTTTTTTTGTTTTTTTTTTTTTTTTTTTGTTTTTTGTTTTCTTTTGTCTCTTGATTGCTGATATTTTTCTGTGATTTCTGCAAATGCAATACTCATGCAATTCCCAAAAAAAAACATTTTTAGTCCATCTGTTTAATCTTTTTGGTAAGATATATATATATATATATATATATATATATATATATATATATATATGAGCCCTCTTTTCTTCCCTTTTTTTAATAATTATCTTTTTCCCCCATCAATTCATTACTGTCCAGGATACCAATTACCATTATCCACTCCATTAGATCATCTAATCACTTCTGACTAAAAATGAGAAGGAGCTTGAACTCTAGATACTGCAGTACAACTGTTGCTGGTGCAATATACATTTTCCTTGTTAAATAAGGTTCATCTAAAACTAAGAAGGCCTTTGATGCAATATCTGCACTGCTAGTCAACAAGTTATGAATAAGCTAAGGTCCATCTTTATGGTTGTATTGAAAAGTTTAGTTATGAATGATATTTTGATAGAATGAAAATCAGATCAGTCCTATATTAAAGTGATTAATGGAATAATGGATGCATTTATAAAAGAAAAAATTGGTTTTCAAGTTCTAGGGTAAGTGCAAGTTTAGTACCGTCTAATTATTATGATTGAGTTACAAGTTTGGGTGGCCAAATTACACCATGAACTAGGGTGGCATGGTCTACCTTACATTGTAGTTGTAGTGTTTATTATTATTAGCTAAAAGCCTAAAAGTTGAATCCCTTAGTTGTTCTGTACTTAATTCCTGTTTGATTATGTATGAATATTACATGTTCCTTATACTTCATTTTATTTTATTTTGGTGTAAAATAAGCATAATAGCATATCATCGGAGTGCCTGGTTTTGCTGTCATATACCAAAGGCATCACCGTTAGTCACTCAGAGAATAATATATTATGTTACAATTGAGATTTGGATTGAATACTATTTGGTCTTGTTACTTGAATTTTTTAAGCGATATGAATTTATTTATCTTGTTACTTGACTGCAATTCTCATACTTACAATTTCTGTCTATGATGAAACAGTATGAAGATTTTCTGGTTGAACTCAACCACTCAAGGTGTTATGATCTAATAGATCAGTATTGTGAACAGATCTCAACCAATCTTCCAATCATGAGTAAACAGAGGTATATAACATGTTTGATTATTGTTTTTTTTTTTTAAAAAAAAAAACATGTTTGATAATTGTACTGTGTGGCACCTATTATGGCAGTTGACAGTGATGTTTTTATGCTTCTTCTCAAAGCCCATAGTTTGGCCTGTTGTTTACCATTTCATGTTGTCTGTCATGGCAGAATAAAGAGATCAAGTTTACAATAACTTTGTTGCCTTTCTTTTCAATGCTCAGCTGTATGATCGAATATTCTAACTTTGATGCAGGGAATGCCCTGAGGATTGCAAGGAAGCCGTGTCGACTTTGATGTTTGCAGCAGCAAGATTTGGCGACGTGCCAGAGTTGCGCCATCTGAAAATCATATTTGCAGCAAGATGCAGCAGCAAGATGAAGGGCTATTAAAATGGTTCATGAATCCACTACGAATGCAAAGAAAGGACGCAGTAAAACTGCTTGGGAAATTGTCAAGGTAATTTCATATTTTTAACTATATAAGTGTTTGTATATAGCTAAATTGTAATGCAAATATTATTTAACATTTGTAGGCTCCTCGTCAACCGGATAGTAACCAATGTGGTTTCTTTGTCATGGCGTACATGAAAACTTTAATTGAGAATATGCCAGACTTCGATGATAAAAATTATGTTCAAGCACTGGTATTACATTCCATTTCTACTCTCTCTTCCTTGTTTCTCGCTGTTATTTAATTGCAGAATGGTTCTAGGTTTTTAATGCTTTGTTAGCTTGGGTTTAAGCCTCTCTCTTTTTCACTTGATTTGGACAGTTATTGATGATAAATTTGATTTTTATTATTTATTTTTTAGAATAAGTTTGTTGCTCTGAAATTTGGGTGTAGAGTGCGTGTGAAAGCTCGAAATTTTGGGCATTTTAGTGCTTGATGTTTTGTAATTAATAAGGGATTTCTTTGTCGTTTGTGTTTAAGTTTCATGCATTATATTCTCATGAGATTTTATCTGAATTGTTTATCAAATTTGGGTGTCTAGTAATCTCCCAAAGACTTGAAAGCTAAGACAAGAACCTGAATCATGTGTATTTGATCTGTTAACATTTTTTTTGGGGAGTGCATTTGTATTGCTTTTTCAAGTGTGTTTCTTTACTTGTTGGCTACACTTGTTATGATTCTCTTTAGGGAACTCATTATCTTGTTATGAACAGCTTGAGTATGAATGTGGTGAGAGTAAGAAGACAGTTTCATTTCATTGCAAATTATTTATATCTATACTAATTTATTTTCTTACTTTTTACATGTAGTTTCAACAAGTTGATTATGACAAAGAGGTTATTGATCTGGTGCGATATGAATGGGCCGATATTCTATCAAGGCATATAGAGTAGGTATGATTTGGTCATTCGAACGTTGTGATCATCTGGACTTGAATTGGTTCGGGGAATTGTTGTAGTAGTATTATGACTTGGATGATAATTAGAATTGGTCATGTGTTGTCTTTTGACTTGTTATTTTGAACCTTATTAGCTTGTGCACAATTATGTAACTACACTTTGCAACATATGGTGAATGGATAAATTGTTTTTTTTATACAATTATAATTTAAGCAGGTGAAAAATGGTTAAAAACCGTTGTCTATTTTACAATAGACAACAGTTAGAAACCGTTGACTTTTTTACAAAAGACAACAGTTTATGGGTGTTTCAACTACACCCAATAGACAACGGTTTATAACTGTTGTCTTTTAAAGAAAAGACAACAGTTAAAAACCGTTGTCTATGTACGTGACTTTTAACAACATTGGTTTCAACAACGCTTAATAGACAACGGTTAAAAAACCGTTGTCGTTGGTAGAAAAGACAACGGTTAAAAACCGTTGTCTATTGCGTGACTTTTAACAACACCGGTTTCAACAACACTTATTAGACAACGGTTAAAAAATCGTTGTCGTTGGTAGAAAAGACAACGGTTAATAACCGTTGTCTATTGCGTGACTTTTAACAACACCGGTTTCAACAACACTTAATAGACAACAGTTAAAAAACCGTTGTCGTTGGTAGAAAAGACAACGGTTAATAACCGTTGTCTATTACGTGACTTTTAACAACACCGGTTTCAACAACACTAAATAGACAACGGTTAAAAAACCGTTGTCGTTGGTAGAAAAGACAACGGTTAATAACCGTTGTCTATTCGCAGGACCTGCAACAACACCGGCTTCAACAACACTTAATAGACAACGGTTAAAAAACCGTTGTCGTTGGTAGAAAAGACAACGGTTAATAACCGTTGTCTATTCGCAGGACCTGCAACAACACCGGCTTCAACAACACTTAATAGACAACGGTTAAAAAACCGTTGTCGTTGGTAGAAAAGACAACGGTTAATAACCGTTGTCTATTCGCAGGACCTACAACAACACCGGCTTCAACAACACTTAATAGACAACGGTTGAAAAACCGTTGTCGTTGGTAGAAAAGACAACGGTTAAAAAACCGTTGTCTATGCGCATGACCTACAACAACACCGGCTTCAACAACAGAAAGTATACCCCTACCACAACGGTTAATAACCGTTGTCTATGTGCATTTTTCTTGTAGTGTCCATTTTTTTGCTAGTCTTGAACTTCTTAAATAATAATAGGAATAAGGTTCAAATTGACCACTGAACGTAACCTGAAAATGCAATTAGACCACTGAACGAAAAAAATGTGCAATTAGGTCATTGAACACTCAAAAAACGTGCAATTAGGCCACTGAACTCTTCAAATGTATGCAATTTCACCGGATAGCAGGTTACCATCAATTTTAGCAGGTTACCTGCTTACGTGGCAGCTGAGTTGGCATTTTTAATAATTTTAAATAATTTTTAATAATTAATTTTAATAATAAATTTTATAAAAATTTTGAAAAAAAATTAAATAAAAATAAAATAAAGTCGTTTTTATTTTTTTTTAAAATTTTTTAATAAAAATTTATTATTAAAATTTATAAAAATTTATTTAAAAGTTATTAAAAATGCCAATTCAGCTGCCACGTAAGCAGATAACCTGCTAAAATTGGGGGTAACCTGCTATCAGGTGAAATTGCACATTTTTAGAGTGTTCAGTGGCCTAATTGCACTTTTTTTTTTTCGTTCAGTGGCCTAATTGAATTTTCAAGTTACGTTCACTGGCCAAGACAGCCTAGCTAGCTTATCTATCTTCTCAACCACCCTAAGATTATTACTACCCCTACAAGCTGAGTTAGCAAATGCCTGTAACATGAGCCTGAGCATGCATGGTTGGCTACGAGAAAGAGCATGAGTTCGTTGGATAATTTCTACTAAGCCAATATAAATATATTCTATCGTTATTGTTTTGAAAGAAAAAAAAATTCCAAACAAAATAACATAATACTTAATTGAATAATATTATTAAACAAAATTATACATGTAAATTTTACCCATAAAAAAATTGAAATACCTAATCACAAATAATTAAAAGGTAATAAATACTTTTTGGAAAATGTTGTCCCCTCTCCTGAATTTCCCTCTAATTTTTTTCTTTGTGACTTTAAATTATTAGGGACCATATATAAATTAATTAAAAATGTTAATTAATAATCAAATACTAAAAAATCATATCATATAATGTCACGTTAATGAAAAAAAAAAAAAAGAATATGTAGCTTTTTTTACCAGTACATTGCAAAGCAAAGACGACATAAAAGGACAAATGGAGTGCATTTAGCTGTAAACTTTTGGTTGGGCTGTAAGTTTGCCGACAGAGCCTGAGATTCCACTTCTGACATTCTTGGATTGGACAACAATCATATATGTAACACTTAACAATTATGAGAACGTAAACTAGTCCCCTATTCTTTTTACAATGGTAATATAATGTTTTGTTGTACTGCACTCATTTGATGCCACATGATTGGTCGGATATGATTTTGAGCTTTCTTTCCTCTCACCTTTTTGGACACAATATGCAAGCTAAGGTTTAATGAAAATACTCAAATAGTAAATGCAGGACGGTGGAAATTTGTCAATTGATTTCGTAATTACAAGATTTTTTTAATTTTTATAAAAGGTTATGTTTTTAACTTTTTTTGATCGGTTTTAAGTTATGTTATCACGTGAACGAATGATATTATTCCTCATTGTAATTTGGTATGGCAAAAGAATAGGGCATTGAGGAGATACACCCCGCCCCTTTTTAGTATGATTTTTAATGTTTTAAGTAATTTTTTTTTAAATATTAAGTTTTTATTTGGTGACTACAATCAAACCTATTCATAGTGAGTTTAAAATGTGACCTTTCGTTTGGAAGTACCGCACCACGATGCCATCAAATCATAAGATACTTGGCAAGATATTTATTTAAACTACCAAATTCAAATATTAGTCTAGTAATATTACATAACTACATAAGTCTTTAATTCTTCATAACTGTGTGTGTGATAAAAATTAATTAATTAATGTATTGGGGACATGCCGAAGCAAGGCGGGATATATCTCCGTCTTCAGAGAGGAATATAATGGATACAACTCCCCATTTTCAAAATTTGGTCCTTTCCCCTATCTCGGTTGGAATAAGAATGAGAGAAATTACCATCTCTAATTCTCATTTGATCATTTCTCTAATTTTTTTTTTTTTTTTTGAAAGTTACTGGCTCTATTACATTGTAGTATCTGTTCATATACTTTCTCAACCTACTGAAACACAAAGAACCAATAACGCCTCCACTGAGGCTCGAACTTAAATCCTGATTAAATCCTGATTGTCTCTAAACAATAGTAATGTGAACATGTGTGTTACAACTTTCAAGTGGTAACACTATATATGATAATCAATCAAATATTAAAAGTTCAATTAAGAAATCAATTAGTGTAATCATCTTTAAAGCATAATAATAAGGTGTAGGTAAAGTGTGATATGCAATTTCTTTGTTCATATTTTTAAATCTTTTTCTTTTCTTTTGGTTGACTTTCTTTTTGAACCATTGAAGGTTATTTTTAATTTTGTAAAAGATACAACTTTTTAGTAAAATAAAAAGTTAATTAAAGGTATTTTAGTATCTATTTTAGTAATCATGGAAGCAACTTTTTGAGAACTAAAAAGTTCCAATGAAAAATTATTTCAAAATAATAAATAAAATAAATCATGTGATACAAATAATAGATTGATATCAATAACTTTTGGAGTATAATGAGATTTATATATAGAGATAATTTTAAGATTATTATTTTAGAGACAAGTCTTTGTATATGTTCATATTACAAGAATTACCTGTGAATCACGATCTAATTAACATTTTTTTAAACAACATATTTTTAATGATTTTTTTTTTATTATTATTTTTTTTATACTAGAAGTTAAAATCTTATTTAAGAGGAATCAAACTCCTACTTGAAGAAGAGGTAGTCAGTGGTTTGCAGGCTATGTTCAAATGTTTAGATCACGATATATATATGACAAACTTACCACAAGACAAGTAAAATGAAGATCGATGATGATGCAGTTTAATGAGGTAGTCAGTGGCCCGCATGACCAGCTCAGTTTCTCTGTGATGCTCTGTCGGGCCGGGGACTCATTTGCGCAGTAAATAAAAATCTAGCCTCTGTGTACAGCTGAATTACTATGATAAGAGGCCCCAAAAGGTGTGACTAAATGGGTGAAATATGATTATTGTACTTGAATTGAAGATCAGATCACGAATTCAGTTATTATCAACATTATTCTCTTGATCAAACATCGTATATAATCTTTCTAGTGTAGTTGTGGGCTATTACGCATGTGGTTTACCTCATTATCCAAAAAAAAAAAAAAGAAATAGAAAAAAATAGATTAGAGAAATGGAAATGAAATGTAAAAGAAGGGTGAAATGAATATATGTGCATAGAATATAGAAGTGGATGGAAAGAGACAAGCATGCAAAAATAGAAGGCCACACTGCATACCGCATGCTAGACAAGATTACAGCCCCACTAAACCAATACGTATTTTCTTGCATACTATATACCCATGACTTTGCTTTCACTTCCCGGCCATTTCATTATCCATTCAATCCATTTCCTTTTTTATTTTAATTATAATTATCTCTCTCAGATTTAGATTTCTGTGTTCTATTTTCTGGAAACATCAACAGCAATGGTCTTTGGGACCAGCTGATCAGCTTTAACCGATAATTAAATCCTCAGCTCAGACGATAATTTTGTGATAGATTCAAGTTTAGATTGATTTTATATATGTATGTACACCCGATTTGCTCTATAGATGGTGTTGGGACATGGGATTTGGATTACATTTGAGTCATGCCTTTTAGTGCTAGCTTGAATTGGGTTTGATTTTGATAGATTTTCGTGTTCCACCTATGATTGAAATGCAAGAAAGTATATAAAAAGAAGTATAATATAATTGTTAGTATGGATTATAAGTCATAAAAAATTAAAATTATAACAAAATGTTTGGTTCATGGAATGAAGATATCAAAAGAGCTAAATTATTGAAACATGTATGTTCAATCTCAACTAAAAGTTT